AGTAACTGTAGTATTACCTGAGTAGCTGGTTGGTTTTCTGGACATTAAATCTTTTAACTGATCTTTTTCACTTTGTGTTGGTTGCTACAATGCTTACCACCAATTCCACTAAAAGTAGAAGACTGTAACACAAATGTTATGCATTCTTTGCCTTATCTTTTATAACCTTAGTTTTCCTTTATTTTATATGAATTAAAAATAGAAAATTATGACAGCTTAATTTAATTTAGTATATTATTTGACCATAAAAGTCTTCCTGAAAATAGCAGAAGGCAGTTTTAAAGGCAGTTTATTATCATTTTAAAAGAAAAATAAAGATGATGAATTCTATTTTAAGTAACATACTAAATTTTGTTTTGTAACATTTTAGCCACAAATTAATTTTAGGGCTTCAACATCCATTGTAAGCAAACCAAAAGACAAGATGGAATAATATCTACAGTATGTAACTTTCATCTGGAAACTAAGTCTTTACTTAAGAGGTAATAAACTCAATTCTCATTATTCATGGTATTATGTTCTCTAAAGTCATCATTCTTGAGTATTGAATTAGTGAACAGTGAATAGTCCAATTGCTCCTAGGGGAAATACAGGGTTAGGTTTCTGCAAGCCTCAAGTCACATTTTTGCCAACTGAGCAATACATAGGCTTGTTTTGTGTTTCTGCTTAAAGTCATTTTATATATTTTTTATATTTTTAATATATAATTTATACATATATATATGTAGTTGACTCATTACCGCTGTACAGCCAACAGCACTCTAACTTAAGCCTGAATGAAGCTTATCTAACACACATTTTATCTGTAAGGCACATTATAGCCTAATTACCTTAGGAACACTAGGCAGCACGTCAGCAACCTCGGGGCCATTTTAAACAGCAAAACCACCAACTAGAGGTACAAAAATGTGAAAAATGTGGCACTAACTAGAATGGGAGAAGGACATTTTTGTTTACAGTATTTGAGCTCAAACAGCAAGGCAGAACATCATCTTGCTTGACCACAGCTTGGAGCACGTACATCAGGAGACTCCAATTTTTCACCACTGTGCGTGTGTCCATGAATGAATGCACAAGTTTGGCAAGTATTATTTTGGGCTTATAAATAAGTTTTAGTGAGTAGAATTCACAAATATGGAACCTGTGAAAAGTGAGGATTAACTGCATATCATTTTCCTTTACGATTCAAAGCCATGTTATTATGCTTTTTCAATTATTTATATTTTAGTATGTATTTCAGTCTAGTGGTCATGAATAGGCAATTTTTCTTCAGCCAAAGGACAAAACTTTTTCAAATTAAATGGAAGTCGAGGAGTCAGAAAACAAAAGCTGTACTTAAAGACCAAATCTCTTGGCCATAAAGTACTCAGGTTTTACTGTATCGATGTTCTAAAGTGTTTTTTGTAGAGCTGGGTTCTTCATGAAAACATTTTAGTCATACTCTCTAATTCCTCAGAGGATGGAAGATCTACACAACTCCATTATACATTAATACTTTTTAAATAGGTTTTCCTACTGCTCACTTATAATGGGGTTTTTTGATCCACGAATTCCACTGGATACTTTTTAGAAGTAATAGACACTTGTCCTTCAAACAGACAAATGAAAAGCCTGTTGGTTTCACAGCAAGAACTTTAGCACAAAATTTAACAATTTTACTTTGGCAAGCTGATCAAAACTGAATAATGAATTCAAGAAAAAAAAAGAAATCACTTTTTAAATCACTTTTAAATTATTTCCTATGAATGCTAATAAACTTACATTTTTAAACCAGAAATTCATACTAATTTTCAGCAACCTATTTACAGTGATGTTTTCCTAAGGACACCACTAGATGATTACTAATCAACTAAAGTCATACCTGTTATCAATTTTTACTTCCAAAATGGTCTAGAAGAATTTTTTCAATTCCATTATAAAATTACCTAGTTTCCAATTCCTCTGGGAAATTATCCAAATCCTATTTAGTCAGGATGATTTAGCATTTGGCACCCATTTAAAGTATTTGTTTCATACTATTCCGAAATAAAACATAAGTCATAGCACTTTAAAAATTATTTCATGATGAGAACTGGCTGTGGTCCAGTGAACTTCTGAAAACATTTATGCCATGATTATGCTTGTCACCCTATATTAATGCAATCTAAATTTCTCAGAAGAATGACTAAATCTAGTCCATTATCTTATGAAGGCATCCTGATGTATTTTTTTAAATTCTTAAAAATGACTGTATTTTTACAGAAATAAATTGTTTTCCAATACATAATAAAAATGCAAATTTCCTAGGACATAAACTAGCCAGGGGGAGGTAAAGTTCTGCTGCTCTGGACTGTTAAGCAAAAATCCTCCCAACATGCCTTTAGGTCAGTCAGCAATTACCTCCCTGGAAATAGCAAGATGGAAAGACCACACACTCCAGTGTCATGTTGTAATCAGAGGGATCTTAAATCAAAAGTAAAATTTACAAGTTCATCACTCATCTTTGCCCCTATCTTAGTACCAAAGCTGATTAAGCCCTTCCTGTTGCTAACCTTTTGCTGTTAGATACCCTAATGGTCTTGAATATTTAATCCAAAAGACTTTTTAAGTACCCTTTTTAACTCTATAACTTAAAAATATATTATTATAAAGAATATCTCTTATACAGGGTTATTTTTCTTCCTAGAAAATTGTCTTTTTTATATTCCCACCTAACCTCATTTTATTCATCTAAGTAAATTAGAATTAAGCTTTAGCAAAAAAAATTCTAACTTGTATGTACAAACCATTTATAGCAGGGGTCTGTGCAAACTATAACCCACAGGCCAAATCTGTGCAAAATTATAACCACCTTTTTTGTAAATTAAGTTTCATGGGAACACAACTTTGCTTATTTATTTGTTCATCTGTTTTGTATTGTCTTTGGCTGGCTGCTCTTGAGCCACAACAGTAGAGTTGAGCAGTTTTGACCAAAACCATTTGGCCTGCAAAGGCCTAAAATATTTATTATCCAGCCCTTTACAGAAAAAGTTCATGACCTCTGTCAGTATACTAATACTAATTCCCTGTGGGCATAGTGGACATAGATATTTCCTTGAACAGTACTGCCATTTTGAGGGAATTATAAAAATTAGAAATATATTTTTTTGTAAACATGCTTTCAAAAGGCAAGCAGAATTATAGACCAAGTATCTAAGGGAAAAAGCTCCTTTCTAAATGATTTAACAACTTCATCACGACTGTAAACTAAATATACTATGGTGAGGAGATCATAAATTGGTATTTTTAAAGCCACAATAAATATACTGATAGCAGTGAAATTACTGTATTCAGTAACAGAAAGTCAAGACTAGCTAAGGTTGGTTGGGACTTACTAATTGGAGAAATCATGCTTTGCCCTTTGGCTCTTTTAGGAACTGTTTAATATGAAGCGTCCCAAAGTGTTTCTTCTTCGTTAGAAAATGTATAAGCTTTGAACAATGGCCATCCACTTGGTTAATGGCATTATCATTATGAGTCCTTAGTTCAAATCTTGGCATGTATAAAGAGAATTTTTCTCTATACCTGCTAAGCAAAAACAAACAAAATATCCCCCCAAACCCAAAACATAATAGCCAAAGGCGAAAGGAAACCGACAAAGTGGTATATACATAAACAACGTTTTGAAAAGTGGAAGATCTGATGTGAGGAACAGGAGCATCATCTCCAACATGCCACTCATCTGAAATAAAATGCTCAACTCCTGGGATAAAAATTAAAAAATCTTATCAACTGGATAAGAAAAAGCTAAATTTATTCTTATCTAATGAACTTCGCTAAGAGCCCCAAATGAGAAGGACCCACACATTCTGCAGAGCCTTTTAAGTCGGAACTAAAAGGTTAATGAAGCCATCATGCTGTTTTTATCTCCACCGAGCACCCTGGCAGTGAGATGCCCGAAACTGGTGTTGGTTCTTATCTTTGACCATCTTTATTCCTTGTGGGCAATGGCCTCCGTAAGGTTCGTTCGGACCAACTATCCTCTTTCCCAAATATTGACAAAATGTCTTTTAGAGACTCGGGATCGCAAAGCCTTCTGTATGAATTTCTTTCAGCAGTCATACGTGCCTAAATAGGTTTAGGGAAGAGCAGACGGTTCAAAACGGAACAAAACCGCTCCCGAGAAGGCAATTTTCAAAAAGCGACACCACAAGAACGGGCAAAAATTCAAGGGCCCATTTAAAGAGGCTTCTCCTGGTTTAGCCTGCTTATTCAAAAAACAGCAAGTCCACGTGTCTGTGGATAAAGACCTAAGAGGAGGGCGCGACCAGGAGGTACACCGGGCTGAGAGCAGAGAACGGAGAAAGAGGTCGGTCGAGGGCAGGACCGCGGCGCGACAGGTGGATGGGGCGGACGGCGGGGCGTGCGTGGGCGCGCACTCCCGCAGGGGGCGAGCAGGGCCGCGCCGCGAGCTCCGGGCGGCCTGGGGCAGAAGCAGCGGGGAGAACGAGCGCAGACATGGTTGAGATACGACGGAGTAGCGGACAGGGGCAGGAACCAAGTGCGGCAAGGCATGCAATGGGAACGCACCGGCTTCTACAGTTTCCCTTTCTCCTCAAGTCACTCACCAAGAAAATCACACTGGGAAGACGGGGGAAAGGAAAGAAAACGGGGAGGAGCGTCCAGGAGCCGCCAGTGCCGCCTCAGGACGGAGGGCCACACCTCAGGGGCTCAACCCGGCTCGCCCACGGCCCGGGCCCAAGACCTTCGCTAGGCCTGACCCGCCCCCAGCCCCGCGCAGCGCTCTCTGCGCCTGCGTCGGTGGAGGCCTGCGCGCCCGCCGCCACACCCACGCCCGAGCAACTGCACACCGGGCACGTGACTCTCGGTCCCCGCTCCACCTACCTGAATCCTCCTCGTTCTTCAGGCTCCTCCCCACCCCGCCTGCTCTCCTCAGAGGCCGTGCTCAGCGTGGCCCCAGAGGCTCGCCCCGCCCTCGCCGGGATTGGCGCCTGCGCGCAAGAGCCTTATTGTGTGACGCCTACAGACCGGCGGCGCTTCCGTACTGTCTCCGGTGGAGTGTATGTTTCTCTCCAAATATGCAGAGACAGAAACGTGCAGTATTTTTAAGGGGATGCCGTTCAACTCATTATTCCCAAAGGCACATATAAACAGTGGTTTCCATATGGAACTCCAGCAGAAAAACTGCAGGGGGAAGAGAGGAAACCTAGTTTACCGTGCTGCCGTCCACTTCGCCGTAGCCGAGCAACTGTTTCCAAGGCAACCACGCCGTCAACAACGCTAAGCAACCCCGAGATAATTAGAAGGCCTGTTTTATTTTCTTCCCAAGAGAGGACTGCTAAGAAGACGTCAAAGGGAAATTAGGTAAAGGAGAGAAACCTTAGTTCTGTGAGAAGACAAGAGTAGGAAAGGAAAGGGGAAACCCCGTGAAGATAGAGACAGATACTCGTATAGTGAGAAAAAAGTTGATTATTTTTAAGGAGTCATTTTGGTGGCCATGGATACAACTTGCTTTTCTGAGAGCATTTATAACCTCATACCCGTTGACTCGAAGGAGCCTCCCCAGCCTCCTAGGTATGTGGGTAAGCAAAGATTATCACTTGAAACAAGAATAAGGATCAATTATGCTATTTCAGGATTGACCATCATATGACGTTGAAAAAGAAACAACATACATTTTTGTCTCAGTGACGTACTCTTGGGTGTCAGCTTCTTAAGGAAGTGGCTGCAAAATCTAGGTATTTCGCGTCTCACAATTCACAGAGAGGGCCATCCGTGATGAGAGAGGACCATTTTATTATGTTAGCCGCCTGTTAATTGTTTTGTAATTAGATAAATTGTTCATACATGATGGGGTATACAAAATGGCCTGAAATTTTTTGTTGCTGTTGAAAAGAGAAAATCATTTATATTATCCTGTGTTAGGATACTTGTTATTTGGTTTCAGGAGTTCATTGTTTTACTTCTGACTACACTACCACTCCCTCTCTAAAGGGATGGTAGTTATTTATTTCTGAGATTATTGTCAAAAATAAATTCTTGTTTGTTCTGAAGCTCAGTCTTTTATTGGTAAAACAAAATAGATTAAGTTCTAAGGTCTTTTCTGGATCTGATAATTGGATAGAAGGAAGAGTAGATGGATGGAGGCCCAAAAATATGTAATTGAGTTAAAATTCTTACATAGGTGTTAGGACCCTTTAAATTCCCCACATTTCAAAACGTTACCCCAAAGTAAATATCTCAGTTAATCTCCTGTGTAGTGGTTTAAAACTTATGTAAATCTATGAGAGAAAAGAAGGTAACTCGTGCAGAAAATCTCATTCCTCCTAGTACTCGAATATTTGCTGGGTTTTTTTGTTTTGTTTTGTTTTGTTTTGTTTTACCCTTCTTCTTTTGCTGATGCAAGTCAAAAGCACATTGAAAGAGCACTAGCCTAAACAGCAGGCTCTGAAAAGAATTGGTTTGGGAATCATGAATAAATTTTCAAATTAAATGATTCAGATAATCTTTACTTTTCCTTTCAGATCTAATGGCCAGTTATTTTTACTAGTAATTACTTGGGGTGCACGACATAAACAAGTGGGCACATCCTTCCATTTTAAGCCTGAGTATCTGGTTTTAACAAGAGTAGTACCCGTATTATTTTCTATTAGCTTCTCAAACTCTAGTTGAGAATGGAAAGGGGAATGTAAAGTAAAATGTGATGGAGTTGCAGGGTTTATGAGGAGGATTCAAATTAACTATTGCTGAATGAATTTTTGGTCAAAAATTCCTGTATGTTGTACTAGATAAAGCTCCTCCTTTCTGTAACCACTGGTAGATTGTATTTTCTATAGAGTAGTGAATTTGAATGTTAAGACATTTTATGAGATAGGTGTTTTGTTCACCGGTAAATTAAAAAGATGCCCCTTTACTGCATCTAAGTAATTTTTTCAAGAAATTTCATAGGAACAATCTTTATTCATTTGGCAAGCAATAACTGAGCCGCTATTATGTGTATAACATTGCCCTTGGAGAATGTTTTTGGGAAATGTTGCAAGTGACAGCAAAAACTCCTTGGTTGACTCTGAAGGTGTAAGTAGGAAAAAGGAACTCATGGTAAAGGGAATAGAAGACATCCAAATGCAGTGCCAAAGAACTCTCTCTGTTAGAGTGAGACTATCTACAACAACTTCCACTGTCTGCAACAACCCTGAGAAGGTTTTAATTTGATAATTAAACCACCAGTAAATCAAACCACCAATATATAAACCACCAATATATAAAAACAGAACATGATAACACATTTAACACATTCCTCTCACCACACTAACATTTACTTGCCCTGACCCAATCCCCTTACTAATAATAAGAATTAATCATAAGAAAGAAATGTATTAACCTACAAGACTTATTTGCATTACTGAGTTACAAACCCAGCTTCAAGGAAACTCACTGCAGCTCTTTGCAAAATTAGCAAGATGACTGTCCAGCTTTCACAAAGAGGTGGATTCCTCAGCAACTAACTGCATGTGATCGCCCACACCTCAGAGGTTACAGTCTCCTTGGGACACTGAAGTATAAACATTAATATGTTTATATATAGTATATATATACTATATATATATAGTATGCAGTTTATACTGCAGACTAACAATAAAATCATATATTATTGGAAACCCTAATGAGAGATGCAGGTAACAAAATGAGAACTTAGAAAATGGATGTATGTAATGAAAGTGGGGTGAAGGGCATCCTCTTGCAGTTGAACTTAATGAGCTGGGACTCAAGATATAACAGTGTTAAAGTCAATGAGAAGCCATGAATCCATTTTCAAAATTTCAGTGGCTCATGATGCATGAGATGGTTTCCAAGCTGCTCACCAAATTTGTCACCCTTCTATTGATGGTTCCAGTTACTTAATGTCTCTGATCATTCTGTCTTTCCCTTTTGTTTAAAGTAATATTCCAGGTATGTACCGAACAGCCCATGGTACCATTATCTCTTTCCTTGCAATGCAGTACTTTTCTTAATACACTCATTAGCATTTTGACATTCATTTCCCCACCGTTGCCTCACATTGAAATTTCCACATGAATTATGACCAAGGTTGATCTCTACCATCCTATAATTAATATAACTGTTTTTGATCTAAACTCGTTGTCTATGAAGATAGTTTTGAACTTTTAATCTTTCATACACTCTCTCAACGATCCCTCCCAGCTTTGTGTCATTTGCAAATCTAATAAGTATGTCTTTTCTATCTCCATCTGTCATTGAACAGGGCAAGTACTTTGGTTACTAAACACCTCTTTCTAGGCTGAGAGCAATACTGGTTTTGAGGGTTCAGTGAGTCATCCATATGCATCCATTAATCTATTCATATTTCTCTACCTTATCACTAAGGATAAGAGGCTTTGCTAACATAAAGATGTATATTATGTCTAAGGTATTTTCCTGATTTATGAGTCAAATAATCTTAAAAAAAAATTATGTTCATTTCAATGACCTGAAACTCCAAATGGCTCATTTAATCATTGCTCCTCTACAAGTTTTTAGATGCTCTCCAAAATTGACATCAGGCTCACCATTGTGGGGTTTCTGGATGCATGCTTTTTAAAAATGGGAATATTTAATGTGTAAGCACCGACTAGTTGGCTGTTTTTGTTTTTTTTTTTTTAAGGCTTTCTGGTTTTCACTGATGTTAATTAACTGTGACATGTAGTCAGAATTTCATTTTCAGAGCTCCTCATTCTTCTTGGACTATCTTTCATTTTATTCAATTTCCATACTGTTAAGTCTGTATCTTTGGAGGCTTTGTAACATCTCTTTGTTTAAAATCTAGTTATATATCTAACTTTGCTAAGCAATCTTGACTATTATGAAATCTTAGATGACGGGGTCATTTTCTTCTGAGATTCTTATCTACTTTGCTGACAATTTGTAGCCAATAATTCAATTGGGTAAAGCAGTAGTCCTTTAAAATGAACTTATATTCAAAGAATGTAAAAAATATTCCAAAGTCTTTATTTTTAGTATAATGAAATTTTATGTTAAAATTCCCATTGTTACCATATATGGTCTCAGAGTTTTATGACCAGTGTTAGAAATTGTTTATTCAGATTTTTAATTTGGCTGTCCAGTCTCTGCAGACTTCCATAATAATAACACTTTTCTTCATCTCTTGTAAAGAAAAGAAAGTAAACTTTACATGTACTAATATGTAAAGAGATTATATTAAGTTATATTTCATACATAGATAGAACTATAGAAAACTGAATTTATTTGGAAAATGGATTGAGGGGATAGAGGAAAACTAGATTTTTATTCATTTTTTAAAATTGAGATATAATTGGCATATACCATTATATTAGTTTCATCATTTTTTTCTATTTTTGTAGTTTGGAAAAGTAAAAAATTATTCAAATAGAATAAAACGTATTGTTTTGTGTAACAAATGGCTAAGCTTTCAGTTCACAAAATAATGTACTGAAACACAAGATTGAAAATTAAAAAGGTGAAAGTATACACACTTTTCTTACCATAAGGAAAGCTATTTTATTAATCAAGAGATAATATCTGCCAGTTCCAATTTGCATATGAAATTTATGGTACAAGTTTGAATTGAACATTATTTTCTGAAGGTATCTAATAAACTCATTCAGTTTAGACCATAATTGATCCCTAGCCATTGAATTCAAGATTGAGGAAAGGTCCCTAAAAGCAAGAAGTAATTCAATGTTTCTCCAAACAAATTTATCCACATTAAGTAAGAAGAAGATAATACGAGTTGTTAAAAGTGGTATAGCTGAACTTCTGCTTCCAATCAAGGATGGAATTTACCCTCTCACCTTAAACAACTAAAACACTAGGGGGGAAAAGTGTAAAACAGTAGTTTTCAGACAATGGACAATAGGCAGCACAGAGCAGTCATCTCTAAGAGAAGAGAAACAAGCCTCACAATTGCCCAACATTCTTCCTAGAGAGTTTCCAGACCAAAGTCCAGGAAAGAGGAATTGAAACAAGACCCAGCAGTCCCTTGAGTTAAAGGAGACAGAGTTCAGAGTCTGGGGAGGTCAAGGCATGTAGAATTCACAGCACAGAGACACAGAGTACCAGAGAGGAGATGACTGGAGAGAGAGAAAAAGAGAGAGAGAGTGTGTGCTATAGAAATATGCAAGAAGATTTTTCTGAAGTCTTTGGTTAACAGTACATGTATGTAATGAAACCACGGAGGCCAGAGAAATAACCAACAGAAGGTAGTAGAGCCAGATAAAGTTCAAATTCCCACCAGCCAGAGTGGAAACACCTAAGGCATAGGGCATTGAGTAGTGCACTCAATAGTATATTGCCTCAGTAGTGGGGCCAAATTAGAACTAGACTCAAAGCTCTTCTGGACCCAGAAATATAATGCATAGCCAAAAGAAAAATCAGTCAATACAAACAGACAAAGAAATGACATCAATGCGAGAATTGGTAGACAAAAGCATTAAAACTATTTTAAATATTTTCTATGTATTCAAGAAGGTAGAGGAAAACATGAGAAAGATACAAAGAGAAATGGAAGGATAAAAAAAAAGACCAAAATCTAACTTCTAGACATAAAGGGTACCACTTCTAAAATGAAAATGGTCTACTGAATGGTATTAACAGTAGCTAAAACACTGAAGAAAATACTGAATTTGAAAACATAGTAATAGAACAATACAAAATGAAAGAAAAAAACTGAAAAGGAAAACAGTGAATCAGAGAGTTGTAGACAAACATCAAGGAGCCTAACATAAGCATAATTAGAATTGCAGAAGGAGAGGAGAGAGATGGGTAAACAGAAAACATATTTGAATAATGGCCAAAATTTTGACAAAGTTAATGAAATTTTCAAATCCACAAACCCAAGAACCACAATGAGCCCCAAGCAGAAAGAAGAAAAAGAAGGAAAAGAAGGAGGAGGAGAAGACCATACCAAGAAATATTACAATCAAATTTCTTAAAACCAGTAATAAAGAGAAAAATCTTAAAAGCAGCCAAAGAAAAAAAGAAACATCATATACAGAAGAAGAAGAAAGATAGCAAATATCTCATCAGAAACAATAGAAGCCAGAAGTTACAAAGTCCTCAACGCACAAGAAAGGGTATAAGTTGGAAATTTGGATTTACACAATGAAATAAAAAACACTGGAAATGGTAAATATACAGTAAATATTAGAAATTATTTTTTTTCTCTTTAAATTTATTTAAAATATAGTTAGCTTTTTACAGGGAAATAATCACAATGAATTATGGGTTCTATAACACATTGAAATAAAATATATTACAACACTGGGACAAAGGTTGGGGAGGGGTAAGTGCAAATATTCTTTTGTACGGTTCTTATACTGTATGTGACATGGTACAATGTTACTTGAAGGTAGGCTTTGGTAAGTTAAACATGTATATTGTAAACTTTAGAACATCCACAAAATAAAGTCAAACAAAAATAAAAAATAAGGCAAAATAAAAAGAGGAAGAATGAACAAAGGGGTACGTAGAAAACAAATAGCAATATAGAAAATTTAAACACAAATATATTTTTTAAATTACATCAGATATTCATTGTCTAACTACACTTCATGTCTGTCTCTGAATGAATATAGACTTATATATATTTAAAAAGTGTATCTTTTCTTAAACTTAAAATCACTTTTACTGGAAATACGAATGCTACAATTTTTTTTTAAATTTTAGGTACATATCCATTTTTAAGACATCTGTAAAAGATAACCTGCAAAAACATAAAGCTGCAATGAAGACTATGGGACCACCAAAAGTTGAAGTACCTTCTCCAAAGGATTTCCTGAAGAAACATTCAAAGGAAAAAACTCTACCACCCAGTAGGTTTTATCACTCTTTCTAATGTTAAAAGTGTTAACAGATCATTTAACTAGAATTATCTTACTGCCAATGAATATTAAATGTTCACAGGTGATAAGTTTGTCTCATATTTAACAGAATCTGAAATTCTAGGAGGAAGTAGAAGTAGAGAATGTAGTGGAAAAAGAAGGTGGAGAATACTAAGTTGTCCCCAAAATAGACTTTCCCTGTGATGGTGCAGGCTTCTGAAGTACGTCTTGGTCTATCCAATAAAGCCCTACCTCCCGCCCCACATGCCTCACCATCTTAGTCCCTAGCCAGATGATTTCAGTAACAAATAACAATTTTCTTGAGTTTGAAACCCCAGTGAGAAGATTGCCTGGCATCTAAACTGTGTCTGGTCTTTTCTGCAAGAGATGAGACTCACAACTGTTATACCAGTTGAAGCAACTATCAGGCATGGGCTTTATCTCTCCCAGATCTCTAAGACCATTAGGACAGTAAATGAGTCAGGTGTAATGGAGGAGCCTTCACAGATGAGTGGGAGACAAAGCCAGCTTCTTGGGCATGTGTGCAGTCACACAGGGCTGTGTGCTTAGAAGCTTGGTTTAATGCTCTGCTTTTGCCCTCTTGAAACTCTTAATTTTTGGTCAAGGAGCTCCACGTTGTCATCTTGTACTAGGCCTTGCAAATGATGTAATTAATCATGGTCATAGAATATATAGATATTAGGAAGATTAGGAAGAAGGCTATCTGGAAAATGGACAGGTATGTATGCATGGAAGCAGCTTCTTCCCATCCTGGGTGTGTCTTTCCTGATGTTTTAGGACAATAGAGAGGAGAGGGAAATTAGTCTCTCTCTTTTGCAAAGTTAGTGTTTTTATGTTGCCTGCCATCAAGGAAATAATACAACATCTCAAGCCCAGCTAGGGTGTTCCTTTTGACAAAAGTGAAACTACTTCTCCTTATGGCAATATTTTATATCCCACAATCCTCTCTCATAACCCATAATGCCATGACAAAGGATGAGGATATTATCAGGAAAGATGGAAAAAGCACATCTAAAAATACAATATTCTTGCACAAATTCATGTCTTTCAAAAGTCTCTCTTGTATCTTTCTCAAGGGGAGTTTTGGTATTTTGTGACCCACAACCACTTGAGAACACTGGAAAATCTTAAAATGGAATTAGTTTATTTCAGTGATATTACTTCGGTTTTCACGTATCCTCTCTAGAGTTAAATACATTACATAACAACTACCAAACTATATAAATCCTAAATATCAAATAAGGAAAAAGGGAAGTCTATCTCTTCCCTTATATAACAGGACAAAACAAACACAAAATTATATTGGCCTTATGAATAATCAAGAAGGTCGGTTGTTGCAAGAGTTCAATCCAACGAATTAAAGGTAATATGGACCAAGGCTGCTTCGAGTCTCTTTTTGAATATTCTTTCATTTTGAACACAATAGTTTTGAAGACAGAAATTTGCTAGCGCACTGAACAATACTTAACAGATACATGAATATTTCTCTAAATTCAATTGGTAAAACATCTGCGTGACAGCAAGGCTGTGTTGACATTGCCATTTTGATATAACCTTGAGAAAACCATTTGGTTTTCAGATTTATTATCACAACTATCAAATACCTTGTGAAAAGAAATCCTCATCCCATTTTCCAAGCCTCGCCCCATTGCCAACCCCTATACCTGGGATGAGAGAAAAGATGATGTTTAAATAGATGTAACATAAAGTAAAGACGGGGCTGGCTCTAGGCACCATCCAGTGAATAACCAAAACCAACCAAGGGTTGTAATTTACTCTACTTACTCACCTAAGAATGAATTATCAGTCTTTCTAAACTGTTTCCTCATTTTCTAAGAATTCAGCTTTACCTCTTATATACATTTCTAAAGCTACAGATTTCCTTATATTACATGTGCATGCACTTTCAATTCATAATTAAATTGGGCTTCTTAATATTTTCAATGTGAACATCTAGAGGATAGATAACTCTAGTTTTTCAGGCAAACAGATTTTGCAAACCTCATTTGGTTGAGTGTATCTGGTAGAAGGAAGCTATTTGGGTTGTAACAACGAGTCCTTATTCTCTGCTCCAGGCTTTATAGGAACTCCAAATTCAATTTCTAACAATGCTCACAACATCTCATTAATACGTTAAATCGGAAGATACTATTTTGGTAGATCAGAAACAGTAAACAATTTCACATATAGTTCAAGCAAATATATACATTATATTCTACATATTAAATTTTATTTTTTCTTTTCCCCCTATAATGTAAACTCCATGAGAACAGGGACTTTGTCTCTTGTTCATTGCTGTATCTGCAGTTCCTAGAGCATTAATTGGGGACATAGTATTTCTCAACAAAAACATATTGCATGAATTAATGAATAAGTAAATATTCAAAAACTCCTTTATAATATTTCTGGGTGTGTAGAATTGATATCAGTAGTGTTGACTTGCTAGGGCTGCCATAACAAAGTATCACAGACTAACTGAGTAGCTTAAACAGAAATGTGTTTGGTACTGGTGTTAGGGCTTCACATATGGATATTGGGAGGGACACAATTCAGCCCATAACAAGAGGTTAATCCAGTCCTCAGACATTTAATAATAAGTATCATTTTTCCTGCTAATAAAAGATAGATAGGGGCACCTGGGTGGCTCAGTCGGTTAAGCATCTGCCTTCGGCTCAGGTCATGGTCCCAGGGTCCTGGGATCAATCCCCGCATTGGGCTCCCTGCTCGGTGGGAAGCCTGCTTCTCCCTCTCCCACTCCCCCTGCTTGTGTTTCCTCTCTCACTGTCTCTCTCTCTGTCAAATAAATAAAATAAAATCTTAAAAAAAAGTTACATAAACTCATAAAAAGTTCAAACAGTGCAGAAATGAATAAAGGCAAAGTACCTAGGATTGTGTGGAGTTAAGATTTGGGTAAGGTTTTGTTAAGATGGCTGTTGCCTTCAGTTTTTGGAAATAAATTGTAATTATTTTACATTTTAGCATTCTGACAAACCATTTTGATGTGGCTCTATCAAAATAGATGAGTACGGATGGTCAGCTTGAAGAAGCTGTGTAAAAATGGCCAGTCTCATCTGCTGCTAATGAAGAGAATGTGGTAGAGAGAAATAAATGAGATCAATTCTGGATAGTAGTAATTTTAGGAAGTGAGATGCAATCAGGGAGGAGTGAACTGGAAACTTCAACTGTGTTGGTAATTTGTATTCATTAAGCTGCATGTTGGGGACAAAGCTATTACATGATCTTCATACCTTATAATAAGAGTTCTAGTGAAAAAATTCCATAATTCTTGGACTTTCACCAAGTTTGACTTATTGGTGACTTTACAGTAACTTTCCTCTGAAGAAACAATTACCAGTAATATTGCTAGTACTCAGAAAAGAGTAAAGTTTCTTTGAATTTTTTTCAGTGAAAAAGCTAAACATTTATTGTTGATATCTTTATAAGATAATACTTTCACAATAGCTAGTATAAATATACTAGTTAGCTAACATATGATTGGGGTGCTTATCTTCTTCCCTTAGACTTATATACTCTTCTTCAACATATTAATTGATTATTTTGTGCTTAATTTTTGGCATTTATGATTACTGATTTACCCCTAAATATTTGAATATATTATTAATAAAACTCTAATATACTACTGGTAAAATATCTAGATATTATAAGTAGTACTGAATAGCAATGTTTATAATTTAATATTAACAAGAAAATGTTATGTTTAACAGAAAAAAGCTTTGATCGGAATGAGCCCAAAAAGCCTCCTGTGCCACTGAGGACTGATCATCCAGTCATGGGACTACAGAGTGAAAAAAATTTTATAAATACAAATGCAGCCAATGTCATTATGGGAGTGGCTAGAAAGCCTAAGCCAATTTATGTTGACAAAAGAACTGGAGACAAGCATGATCTTGAAACCTCAGGACTAGTTCCAAAATACATCAATAAAAAGGTAGCCTTGTGATGTATTAATGAGACCTAAAATGCAAATAATTTAAGTATGGTGTTCACAGTGATTATCTGTATTATTATTAATAGTGCTCTCACAGGGCAAATTATTCCTCTGCAATCTGTGTTTGGTCCACATCTAATGTGATGAAGTTATGGAGAATTTGGAATGAATAACACCATGTAGTCCAGTAGAGGAAAGCTCTAATTGTTTCCCCTAATTTCAATTATTAATATATTTAACAATTATAGCAAACATTCTCCAAAAGATGTTAATTTTTAGTGTGGTGGACATTTCATGAACAGCATAGGCATGACTAAGAGTCATTACTAAGAAATAACCTTTCAGAAAGTCCTAAGATTTAGTCATTAGGTTGCAGTATCTTGGTAAGAGAATGAGGAAAAATGAAGAGGAAAATAATTTTAGAGCCATTCATCCTATCAATGTAGTATAAATAATTCACATTACAATTTCAACTTGAATGTGTTTGGAATAAAGCAGACCTTGAAAGTACTGTACAATAAGCTAGTCCTTTTGGGACCTTCATCTCTATCTGAAAAGGTGCTTATCAGATAGGCATACAATTTCATTGTTGAAAATTATAGGAGCTTCAGTTTGTTTAAATATAGAAGATCTTTAAAATTTAAAAAGCTTACAAAAATACCTATATAAAACCTATTTTGCTTTGTACTTTGTATACTTACAGAGTATAAAACTGCTAGGAACACATATAGTAAAATATGAATGCAAAATCCTAAAGAATAATAATCCATAATAATAAACTGTGGCAAAAAAGAAAGGAAGGACAGAAGGAAGAAAGAAAGGAAGAGGAAAAACAGAAATTGCAATAGTGATGTATGAGGGGTTTGCATCAAGGTAGTCCAGTGATCTACCATGATGAATCCAGTGCCTGTTCAAAATCAAAACGGGAACCTCCAGGCTGTTGTCAGAGTACACCACTTACTCTCTGTGGAAACTCGTCACTCAATAAGCTAAGACACTTTTGGGAGACCTTAGCAAGTATCTGGGGGTTGGCAGCACATGGCAATAAAGTTATTTCAGGCTTCTCTGAATACTTCCTCCTGTGTCCTGAAGGCTGCTCATAGCCCTTGTCCCATAGGGGATGAAAAACAGAAATTTCACTTTAAAACAACTTCCAATCCATTATTTGTCCACTATGATGTGGAAACCCTTCTCCTTTGCCCACACTGTGCCCCTTCTTCTGGCTGCCTTCTGCCTAAGCTGTCCACTTCAGTACATTTTCTGCCCTGAACAGAAAATTGAGAGTATTCATCATGGAGACAGAAAAAGATTCAGTTAGTCTTCCTGTGCTCGTTTACCAAGCATGCAAACACTCTGCACCTCTTACACTCTTGGTGTTGCTGGCCAGGCATTCAGGGTTCATGAAGGACTTTCTCAACTTACTCTCCACTGATCAGAGTTAAGTTTTTAAAACCCAGAGCGCCTGAGTGGCTCAGTCAGTTGGGCAACTGCCTTCGGCTCTGGTCATAATCTCAGGGTTCTGGGATTGAGCTCACATACCGCTCCCTGATCAGCCAGGAATCTGCTTCTTCCTCTGTCCTTCCCCTGCTCATTCTCTTTCTCTCTCTCAAATGAATAAATAAAATCTTTAAAAATGTATAAGGCCCATGTGAAGGAAATTATAAAGTTTAAAAAAAGATAAAACCTATTAATGGTAAGTGAGAGATCAAGTCTTTAAAGGGCAATGCCATTTTTATAAAAGTGAGTGAACCTCATGTCTTAGTTTCACATAAAATATGGTATGCCCATTTGTGCCATGGGAAACCATCTGTGAAAACAAACTGAAGCACTGATGATTGCCTGAGGTCCACGGCAATGGGCGTGAGACATCATTTCAAATTCTGACTCCACCACTTAACTCTGTGATCTTTCACACATTATTAGATTTATCACAGGTTTGTAGTGAGGATTAAATGATATAAAATCTATCAAGGACTTGACATGATATCTGGCACCCAATAAAAGTTCAATAGAGAGTGGGTAGTATTAATTATTAACATTAAGAGTATGCATTAGCCCTCAGTGATCTAGCATGTGGGAATATTTCAGATCACTGAAGCTTTTACCCATGTGCGAGATAGTTCTTTTTCCTAAAATGTATTACGTTATTCCCTCTATTAAACAGAATATGCCAAATATAAATTTAATCTCTTTGCAATGACTCAGAATCATCATTATGAGCATCAGTAACTACTTAGCTGTAATGAGGTTTTGCCCTCAGTGTTTCCTGAAGTCAATTGGACTGTTTACCACTGCACTAACTTACCAGAATTCTGTGCTCTTAGAATTTATTTGTAGAGTGTTTTGCAACTTGCTGGAACACATTTATAGCTAGGATTTCAAACTGTCCCTTTTTTCAGCCGGGATAGGTTAAGTGATGCTTTGGTAACAAATAACCCCTGATTTCAGTAGCTAAAAGCAACTAAGTTTTATTGTTTGCTTATTGCTCCATGTCCATTAAGTGTTGGAAGTTCTGCTTCTTGTCCTCATTCCAAGACACAGGCAATCCCAAATATTTCCCATCATTATACTAAACAGAAAAAGAACATGGCAAGTCATCCATTAACTCTTGAGGCTTCTACCCAAAAGGGACAGAGGTTACTTCCACTCTCTTTGGGCAAGTCAGGTCACATGATCACATCTTACTTCAAGGGGATCAGGAAAGTGTTGTCCCATCAATTGCCTACAAGGAGAAGAACCAGAATGTTTATGAATAATTGTAATGACTATCATACCTATTGACAGCTTCTTCCTCAGAGAGTTTTTCACTGACCTCCTTATTTATCTAAAATATTTCTTCCCCCTTACTATTCTTTGTTTCAGTTTGGAGCACTGATACATATATTACTTTATACTCTATTTTTGGTGAGTTGCTCTCACTATAGAATGCACATTCCATAAGGACAGAAACTTGCCTTTCTTATTCACTAGTATACCTGGCATCAAGTAAATTCTCAAATAATTTTTTGAAAAACAAACAAGGAGTAGTTCTGTTCTGTACACAGTGGTATCAAGCATAGTTACTAGTCTGAAAAAAATCACAGCGGATTGCTTCACTGTCTATCCTTGTAAGCAGCCCAGGAGCCTTCAAAATGGATTTGGCATTCCAAAAACAACCTTAGGGTCCCAAGTCAGTTTTTACTTAAAGCAGATGTGCATTGTGTATTTGTTTTTACAACACTTTAGAAGCATTTATCTTCTTTTATATAACAAGAACTTGCAAAAGGGACCTCAAGATATTCAAGATATTTAAAGGTAAAAGCTGAAGCACCTAAAAGAAATAAAGAAAAACCAACTCTTAGAGGTAAAACAAGGACTGAGTCATCAGCCAGGAACAGGTGCTGGAAACATTCAGAAGAGAAAAAACAAGTAGCCACAATAACAATTCAGATGGTTTTAAAAGATGAGAATCAACTAGTTCCCAATGGGAAAAGAAAGAAAAAAAAACCTTGAATTTTGTCAGTTTACCATGTTTGGAGCAAAGGCTGTGCTCAAAAAAAAATCTGTAACATTTCTTTGTCTCTCAGTCGTTAGTTGATGTGTATACATATGTAAGATTGCATTCGGGATATTGATTTTTTTTTTTTTCTGAAAAATCCTTTTAAGGATTATGGTGTCACACCAGAATATATATGTAAGCGAAATGAGGAAGTAAAGAAAGCCCAAGAAGAATATGATAATTATATCCAGGAAAACCTTAGGAAAGCAGCTATGAAAAGGCTCCCCGATGAAGAAAGGGAGGCGGTTCTGCAGGTAAGCGTTCTGTAATTTATATTCATATGTAGTACTTTCGAACATCTCTGAAAGAAAGGTCCGTCATCAATGAATATTAAAGCCTGCACCTTGACTTTGAAATCAGAACACACTCTTTGGGTTACAGTGAGGATTATGAGCAGCACTCTGACTCTTTAGGGAGAGCAAAAGTTGTAATTAGGAATTACTGAATCATATTTTGTTTCCAATTTTGTGAGATTCTGTTTTTTCCTGGGGTAGTTAGTGTTGTAAGGAGGCCCACCTTCTCCTTCAGTGAACATGCATAAGTAAAGCCAAAAGGTGTTTTTATTTTCATTGTCATGTCCCTGAATTTTTCAAAAATAATATCCATAAAATAGATATTTTTCACTAGATGGAGCTCTAGAATAATTGAAACTGCTCCTAGACCAACTTTTTTTTTTCTTTTCTATAAGCCAAATGTCCAAATTTTAAACTAACCATGTGTTAGGTTTTTTATGTATTTTCCATATTTTGAATAAACTAGGCATAAAGATATATGACCTTATGTGTTTAATGCAAGACTTTTATCTGAAGCATTTAAAATACCTTTGGAGAGTATTTATTAAGCACCTAATTGTACTCTTCTATAGTCATGATATTGTTATAGGTAAAAATAGTACTTTATTCTTGTTATTTTGAAAGATTTCTACAAAGTCATTTCTAGCAACCTTTTAAAAACGGAAAAAAAATTTTTTCCACATTAACTTCTGTTGAAAATGGATTTGTATGCTGCTATAAATTCTTAACATTTTATTAATGTCATAATCATTAGTAAACATTTACTAAATTACTGTTTTGCATTAAGTGTCATGCTAAGCCTCAAAGATATTAAAAAGGGCATAAGATAAAATTCTACTATAGATAATGTAATATAATGGAGGAGAGGTGATATGTATATATGTACATATGTAAATATATGTGTGTTGTGTGTATGTAGAGATCATAAGTTTTATCAGGTTCTAAGACAGAGCATCCACTGAAGGATGTAGCTGGGCCTTAAACTGCACAGTAAGAGGGTCTTCTGGACAGCAGAAGTGACCTAAGGGCAAAGACTGTGTCTCTTTGTTGACAGCAGTCTCCTTTGTGCCTAACTCAGTGCCCAGTATAAACACAGAGGTTTAATATTGGTGTGCTGGAAAGAAGAAAGGAAGAAGGTAGGCAAGAAGGCTGGCAGACATGGAGGTGGGACTTTGGATGTCATTTTCAGAGTACTGGTTTGTGGTCCATTCTCTCTTTCTCTTTCTCTTTCTCTCTTGCTTTCTCTTTCTCCTTCTCCCACCCCATCTCTCTCTAGTTGGATTCTACCATGTATAGAAAGTACAAGCTTTTGTGAAAGCCAGGTTTTTATATCTAAAAACACCAATGGATAGATCATCCAGACAGAAAATCAATAAGGAAACCTCAGCCTTAAACAACACATTAGACCAGATGGACTTAACAGATAGATACAGAACATTCCATCCAAACCCAGAATACACATTCTTCACAAGTGTATATGGAACATTCTCCAGGATAGATTGTATGTTAAGCCACAAAACAAGTCTCAATAAATTTAAAAAATTGAAATCATATCAAGCATCTTTTCCAACCATAATGGTATAAAACTAGAAATCAGTTACAAGAAGAAAACTGGAAAAATCACAAACATATGGAGATTAAACAATATGCTAATGAACAACTAATGGCTCAATGAAGAAATCAAAGGAGAATTCAAAAACTACTTTGGGGGTACCTGGGTGGCTCAGTCAGTTAAGTGTCTGACTCTTGATTTTGGCTCGGGTCATGATCTCAGGGTCGTGGGGTCAAGCCCTATGTCAGGCTCCCCGCTCAGTGCAGTCTGCTTGAGATTCTCTCTTTCCCTCTTCCTTGCCCCTCCCCTGCTTGCACATTCTCTCCATAAATAAATAAATAAATAAATAAATAAATAAATAAATAAAATCTTAAAAAAAAAACAACTTTCAAATGAAAATAGAAATACAACCAAAATCTATGGGATGACAGTTTAAGAGGGGATTTTGTAACAATAAAAATTTCAAATAAACCATCTAACTTTATACCTAAGGGAACTAGAAAAAGAAGAACAAAAGAAGCCTAAAGTTCTAGAAGGAAGGAAATAATAAAGATCAGAGAGCAAATAAATGAAATGGAAACTAAAAAGACTAGAAAAGATCAATGAAAGTAAGAGCTGGTTCTCTAAAAAGATAAACTAAATTAACCTTTAGCTAGACTCACTAAGAAAAAAAGAGAGAGGGTTTAAGTAAAATCAGAAATGAAAGAGAAAAAGTTAACAACTGAACATAGGAATACAAATGATCATAAAAGAATACTATGAACAGTTCTATGCCAACATTTTGGACAATCTAGAAGACATGGATAAATTCCTAGAAACATACAATCTTCCAAGACTGAATCATGAAGAAGTAGAAAATTGGCATAGACCAAGTACTAGTAAGTAGATGTAATCAGTAATCAGAAAACTCCCAACAAATAAAAGTTCAGGGCCAGATGGCTTCACTGATGAATTCTACCAAATATTCAAAGATTTAACATCTATCCTTCTCAAACCCTTCCAAAAAATTGAACATGAAGGAATGCTTCCAAACTCATTTTACAAGGCCAGCATTACTCTGATACAAAAACCAGTCAAGGACACCATATACACCCACAAATCATAGGCCATAAATATCCCTGTTGAACATACATACAAAGATCCTCAACAAAATATTAGCAGATCAATTTCAACAATACATTAAATGTATCATTTACCATGATCAAGTGGGATTTATTCCAGGGATGAAAAAACGGTTCAATATCCATAAATCAATCAATATTGATATACCATAGTAATAAAATGAAGGATAAAAACCATATGATTATCTCAGTAGATGCAGCAAAAGCATTCGACAAAATTCAAAACCAGTTTGATGATTAAATCAACATAATAAAGGCTGTCTATGGCAAGCCCACAGCTAACATCATGCTGAACAGTGAAAAACTGAGAACTTTTCCTTTAAGATCAGGAACAAGACAAGGATGCTCACTCTCACCACTTTCATTCAACATAGTATTGGAAGTGCTGGACAGAGCAATTAGGCAGGGAAAAGAAATAAAAGCCATTCAAACTGGGAAAGAAGTAAAACTCACTATTTGTGGATGACATGATTTTATATATAAAGACTCCACCAAACATCTCTTAGAACTAGTAAACGAATTTAGTAAAGTTGCATGTCACAAAATCAATACATAAAAATCTGTTGTGTTTTTATACACTAACCACAAACTATCAGAAACAGAAATTAAGAAAATAATTCCATTTATAATTGCAACAAAAAGAATAAAATACCTAGGAATAAATTTAACCAAGGAGGTGAAAGATCTGTGCACCGAAAACTTAGAAGACATTGATGAAAGAAATTGAAGAAGGCAAACTAAATTGAAAGATATCTCATGTTCATGGATTGAAAGAATTAATATTGTTAAAATGTCCGTATTACTCAAAGCAATCTACAGATTCAATCCAATCCCTATCAAAATTTCAATGGCATTTTTCACAGAAATGTAACAAACAATCCTAAAACTTGTGTAGCACCACAAAAAATCCCAAATAGCCAAATCAATCTTGAGAAAGAAGAACAAAGTTGAAGGCATCACCCTCCCTGATTTCAAACTATATTACTAAGATACAGTAATTAAAAAAATAGTGTGGTAATGGCATAAAAACACATAGATCAAAGGAACAGAATAGAGAGCCCCAAAATAAACCCATGCATATATGGTCAATTAATTTATGACAAAAGAGGCAAGAATATACAAAAGAAAAGAAGAGTCTTTTCAAAAAGGGTGTTGGGAAAACTGGACAACCACATGCAAAAGAATGAAACTGGACCATTATCTTACACCATATGCAAAATTAACTCAAGATCGATTAAAAACTTGAATGTAGAATGAAGCCATAAAACTCCTAGAAGAAAACATAGGTGGCAAACTCCTTGATATCAGTCTTGGCAATGTTTTTTTTGGATCTGACTGTTAAAGGCAAGGATGACAAAAGCAAAAATGGACAGCTGGGACTACATTAAACTAGAAAGCTTCTGCAAAGGGAAGGAAACCATCAACAAAATGAAAAGGCAACCTCCTGAAGGGGAGAAGATATTTGCAAATCATATATCTGATAAGAGGTTAATATCCAAAATATATAATATATGTATCCAAAATATAAAATATATAAAGAACTCATACAATTCAACACCACTACCACAACAAAACACCCCCAAACAATCCAATTAAAAAATGGGCAGAGGATCTGAATAGATATTTTCCCAAAGGAGAGATAGAGATGGCCAACTGACACATGAAAAGATGCTCAAATTAAAACCACAATGAAATACCACCTCACACCTGTCAGAATGGCTATTATCAAAAAGATAATAAAAAATAAGTGTTGGTGATGATGTAAAGAAAAGGGAACCCTTGCAGCCACTATGGAAAACAGTATGGAGGTTCCTCAAAAATTAAAAATAGAACTACCATATGATCCAGTGATTCCACTTCTGGGTATTTATCCAAAGAGAATGAAGATATTAATTTGAATCTATATATGTCCCCCCACGTTCACTGCAGCATTATTTTCAATAGCCAAGATATGGAAGCAACCTAAGTGCCCATTGATGTACGAATGGGTGAGGAAGATGTGGCATATCTGTGTGTGTGTATGTTATGCTAAGTGAAATAAGTCACACAGAAAAAGACATACTATATGATTTCACTTATACGTGGAATCTAAAAAACAAAACAAACAAAACAAAACTCATAAACACAGAGAACAGAGTGGTGGTTGCCAGAGGGGAATGAGGTTGAAGGTGGGTGAAGTGGGTGAAGGTAATCAAGAGATACAAACTTCCACTTATAAAAAAAGTCTGAGGATATAATGTGCACCATGGTGACTATAGTCAGTAATATTGTATCACATATTTGAAAGTGGCTAAAAGAGTGAATCTTAAAAGTCTTCATCACAAGAAAAAAATATTTTGTATCTTTGTACAGTGACATGGTAACTAGACTCATGCTGATTATTTCACAATGTATACAAATATCAAATCATTATGTTGTACGCCTGAAACTGATATAATGTTATATTATACTTAAAAAACAAACAAACAAAAAAACAGGAAAAGAGAGGAAGAACTTCCCTCAGAAGGAAAAGAAAGGCTCTTCTGTCCTGTGTCTTTTTAGCTTAGTGGATAAGCAGCCCTCAGTTGCCTAATATGGTCACTGCGGATTTGACAGGACAATAGCAGACCCTTCCTTACATGCCTTATTAGCCAGGTAATATAGCTGCCGTGGTAACAGAGCCACCAGCTCTGCTCCTGAGAAGTCCTGAGTCATGTTTCCCTCCATGATTAAGAGTTGCACACGGCACTATGACAACATAGTTGTATGTGCCCGAATAGGCCACATCCTGCTCATTCTTCATAAAATAACAGTCTCATTATACTTAGAGGATTATCCAGTCTAATCATTCCACACTTCTCCTTTGACATATGAGGATATAAAATGCAAATATGTTAAATTTTGTTCATTTATCTATTCATTCACTTGAACAGGCACTGTACCCAGCCCAGGGGGATACTATTGTGAGCAAGACAAATGCACTCTTTACTGTCAGTACACTTAGAGTTTGGTTTACATTTGCCCTTACCCTTGTCACAAAATTATCAAGGAGCCAAACAGGGACGAAAACCCACATCGGCCAAGTCGTAGGCCAGGGCTTCCCCTGCGACATGGTTCACACGTGCATAGGAAGTAACAAAAGGAAGCTCTGTCAGTCAGAGATCCAGCAGGAAATACAAGGCACCACCAACCAGGATTCTGAAGCACATTTATGAAGAACTATTTACAGAAGGAAAGCAGGGCTACAGGAGCCAACAAAAAACTCTGTAGCACCCCAGGACTAAGGACAGCGGGAATCCATCACCACCCTAGGCTAGAAGGGCAGAGGCAAGGAACAGTGTTACCAGAGCCTGGTAAGATCTGGAGCCTGGAAGAGGGCTCACTGCACAGTGTTGCCCTTACACACACGTGAGCCAGAACTAGGGTCCAGGTAACGTCAAGGGAGAGGAAGAAGAAATGCCCCAACCTCTCTCTCCTCCCACCAGTGCCGAGCTCAGAGGCTGGAAGCCTAAAGCGGGGCGGGGGGGGGGGGTGAGGGGGAGACACAACGAGAAGGAGGAGCATGGCACTGAAGGCACTTCCTATTTATTTTATGACTGCTTCTCCCTATCTGAAGCTTTTCCCAAACTAACAATAATAAAAAAAAATAAAATAGAAGAGAGAGAGGTCAATTAAGAAAAAAAGAAAATCACTATTCCTGCAATGAATAAAAGATTTTTTAGATGAAATAACAAAAATAAGTCTTAAAAACAGCAGAGAGGCTATGTCAATAGAATATATTAGTTACATTTAGTTCCCATCCCTGCCTGTTGACTTGGATCCAAAGGTTTTTGTACACACTGGAAGATAAAGCAAACTATCCTTTAAAAGATAAAGGCTACAGAGAAAAAGTGTAGCTGCTGTGACCACAAGTAATGTGGAAATATCACTCAAGTAGCTATGAAAAACCTTTGATATTTGAAAGTGTATAAATGCATAGATTTCCTCTCTGCAGTAGGCACCCCTGTGGAGCACTGTGGAAACATAGTTCTCATTTCATAATGAAAGGCTATGAAAAAAGAATTCTTCTGAGGACATCTTTTTGGAATACATCTCATACACCATGAAGAACTGTGCTAACCCATCCCTCTCTTTTTAAAATGTAACCTGGATATTTTCCCTCTTTCTTTTCCTTTCCTTAAATCTTTCATCTGGTCTCACTCAATAAGGGCTCAAAACTATTGCCCTTTTCCCCGGTCAACCTGGTCTGTACAATGTGCTCTATCCCTATCATCATTTTTACCTAAGCATGGAAATAAACCACTGAAATGTTATTATCCCCCAAAAGCTTCTACAAAATGAAATTTGTACTATGAAGGCTTATTATGAAGATGTTATTATGTAAGAAACTTCTAATCTTCTCTTACACCTAAATATATAGCCATGGATTTCAAGGACCATATTTTCAAGGCAATATTTTAAATTCTACTTTCAGTTTGACTTTTTGTTTTTGTGTAAATAAAGTGATTTGTGTACCCATAGTGAATAACAGAAAGTGTTAATTTTGCAAAAATTCATAGCTCAAATTCGATTAGAGGTTTCAGCCCATTTTGTCAATGAGACCCTCTAGTGCACTGTGATAAGAAATGGGGATTAGGCAGATGAAAATAACCTTTATTACTCCTTAGAGATCCCTAATTTTGAATTTGTCAGCTTCTGAGAATATAAAACATTAACTACATTACTGAATTAGCATGCATTTACATTTAATGACATCTCAGTCATTTCTGGTATACATTAATGGGACGTATAGACCCCTTGACTATATGAAGAGTTCTTTCTAATATATTGAAAAATACTTAAAGGATCATCTCTTGTTACATTGAATTTTGGCATTTTGTACAATTCCATTTGGTCAAATATAAGCAAATGTGCCATGCAAGTCCAAATTAGGTCTTTTGATGAATGGGGATAATGGTTCAAAACTAAAATCCTAAAGAAAAAAACTAAATTTTTTATAAGAAATAATTTCCTATTCAAAAATATGTCTTGCTTGCGGGGGGGGGGGGGGGGCGGGGGAGGGGGCATCGATTCTCACTTGTTTTTACCAAAGCATTTGCTATGAGCTTAGTTTCATACTACTTGTAACTCTGCATATGCATATTTAATGGCAAAAACAAGTAACAGTAACATAACAGAGCAAATAAATACTCCCTCTGGGAACTGAGCACACAATCTAGGACAGGATTTGGCCTCTGCACAATATTTCCTGTTACTGTAGCCAAGTACTCAATAAATACATATCGTTTTGTAAAGTTATTTTCATCAGTTTCCTTTACCTATTTACATTTCTCTTCACCAGTACACTATATATATTTTTTAACCATTTATGTTACTTTTGCAATTACCTTAGTATTTAGAGTTCTCATTCCCATTTACAGGGGCTGAAGAAGAACTGGGAAGAGGTGCATAAGGAGTTTCAGTCTCTCTTGGTGTTCAGTGACTCCATCCCAAAGAAGATCCGCAAGCAGAAGCTGGAAGAAGAGATGAAGCAACTGGAACATGACATCAGCATCATCGAAAAGCACAAAATTATTTATATTGCCAATAAGTAATAATGGATTTTTTAAAAATATAGTCATTTTAACATAGGGGAAAAAATGAAACTTTGCTTTTCAACGAGGAAAACACTATTAAGAGAATAAAAATAGTTTTTACCAAAATGCTGGGGCAATGATTAAAGGGTAATCAAATTATTCTACCCATGTGAGAGAAACTTTTGTTTTTACCAGCATTAGGATTTCCACGTATAAGCAGAAGTTTGATGTGGCATGTTCCAGTTTGTAGGGTGATCCATTATTTTTACGTACTTGTTTCACAGAAATATTAATTTCCGGGTGCTGAAGAATAAAGTCAGCACTCGGAACTTCAGATTTTTTCTATACTGCATGAAACAAAGAGCACAACATTAAAAACTGTGAAGTATTTTGAATTGGACATAGTGGCATATGCTTTCTTCCTACTCCAGTGCTTTCTAAACATTGCTTAAGATTCCCACACATTCAACAGCATGCAATCTCTGATAACCTCTGTCATTTGCAGCTCTTCCCAACTGCAAATACCGTCAGTGTCTGTAATGCTAGCTATGCCAAAGAGGAAGGAAATGAAGAGGTAACATAAAATCAAGAAGACAACTTAGAAAATGCATCACTGAGCATAATCAAAGAGAACAGCCTTCTTCTGGGCATATAAACTTTTAAAAACTTTGCTACTCAAAGTGCTTTATTCCATAATTCACTATAGGTGTTTCACTAAAATGGGATGTTCCTTTTTCTTTTTTTGTTCCTATGTATCTATTTGGTGAATTCTAAAGTTTCCTTTTGTATGATTAATTATTAAGCAATAAGTTTATGCGAGTAGAGCTGTCTTCAACTCAAAATAAGTATATAAGGAGAGTCTAAAAGGAAAGAATTCTTGTATGAAATTTTAAATTAGAGAAATTCAGTAGAACATGAAATACAAAATATCAGAGCAATAACAATGTCTGCTGCTTACACTGATTTTTATCTTATGGATGATGGAAAAAATGGCATTTTTTTAGCTTTTTCAGAAACAGAATTTGAGAGCATTGTAGAAAATCTTACTTTAATTAAATAAAAATGGTTATATACAAATATTTTTGAAAACTCACGTTAAACTTTTTTTCACATCTTTTTATGAGCCTCATTTCTGTATTTATTACTAACCTTAGAGCAGATATAAAACTAAAGCTAGTGATTATCCAGAATGGTTGCTTGCTATTTAGGATAGGCGAATAGTTGTAACAATAAACCCAGAATGTATAATAATAACATAATAGAAACTCATATCTTGCTCACATAACAGTACTGTGCCGCAAAGACATGAGCAGGAGCTCTTTTGCACAGTTGCTCAAGGACCCAGACTTATGGAGTGGTAGGCTCTGTTCTCTCCAGAGTTCAAGCCTAGAAAAGGTGCACATCATTTCTCTTTGCATTTTCTAAGTCAGGAATACTAGTTGCACATACTACCTCTAAACACAAACCACCACCAAATCTTATTTGTCTGGTAAACATAAATTTCTCATTTACGTTACTGTCCTATGTGAATGAGGGTGGGGGGTGGTACTCTGTTCCATGCAGTCACTCAGAGACTGCTGGTACAGCGGCCCTTCTCTGCCACGCTGAAGGATAAGATGTTTAGGTTAGTATTTTATTTGTGAGATGATTCCTATACATAACTAATTTTTTAAAAAATTCAAAACCAGTAGTGATGCAAAAATATTCTAATTATTTCAGCCTCATGGTTGTTAGGTTTAGGGACCACGAATGAGAGTTGCCTTACATATCTTTGTGGTTTTAATGGATGGTTTTTCTCTTCCTGTATGTCTACTAAAGAATAGACTTTTCTCCATGGCCCACGATGTTATTCTAGATTGACTTTATTGCCTTTCTCATTCACAGGCCTCTTAGGGAAACCTTCCCATCCGTTATTCCTGAGACATTATCCTACACTCCTACCGTGGGATCCTAAACTTGAAAATCTCCAGTGCTAGCTTCCCACATTCACATTCAAACACACACACACACACACACACACACACACCTGGGTCATTCTACCAGGCAGAGGAGGGACAGACACCTGACTCAATGATTGATCAGTGATCAGATTCTCTTTCTCGAGAATGTGAATTAAGAGACACAGAGACCACAGTCATTTGGGAGCAGGCACTTGAGCCTAAAAGGTCAAACTTCATTCCTGCAGCTAGTTTGACTTGGTTTTTATTCCTATTCAAAAGAGCTCTGAGTAGAATAAAAACCCGATGTGGTCTGGCCCTTTGCCTGTGACCTCTTTGGCTTGGTTCCTTGAAATGCTGCCCCCTCCCCACGGTGATGGGTGTTCCTATAATACTGAGATATAGATGCCCCTCCCCCCAGTCTTTGCACATTGTTTCCTCTGCCCTTTTCTTTCTCCTCCTGCATATCTGCCTGGAGAAAATCTGCTCTTCAAGAGTTGGATCACATTACATTTCCGTGACACCCCTTTTTGATTTCTCAGACTCAGTCCTCCTCTTCCAGCATTGCTCATGTTGTATTGTGTATATGTGATTATCTGCTGTTTCCCACAAAACTGCTCGCTTCTGGGGGAGAAGGGGCTGTATTTTTTTGTCTGCATTCCTTAGAATCTACATCATAGAAGGTGCTCAGAAAACCTTTGTTGAATAAATTAATGAATAATGTCCAAACATATACTTTGATGACCCCTTGGCATTATTATCACGACATAAATCAGACTTAGAGGATAGGGATTTGGGCCACTAAACAAGGCAGTTGACACCGCAGCAACTAGCTGCATGAGCAGGTCAGGAGAAGGCAACCTCTTGTAGTGCTTATGAGCTCAAGCTCTGGAGTCAGGTGGACGCAGGTTCACATCCCAGCCCAGCACTTATTAACTGTGCTTCAGAATCTTTTTAAGATATGTTTTCCCAGTCTATAAAATGGGGTTGATAACCTATAGCCATGCTTTATAGAGTTGTGATGGGAATGGAATGAAACAACATTACAACAGCATAGTCCCTGGCATGTAGGAAGACAATACATTCCTTACTAAGGTTTATTATTAAGAATCCAATTCTGGGGCACCTGGGTGGCTTGGTCGGCTAAGTGTCCAACTCTTGGTTTCAGCTCAAGTCATGATCTCAGGGTAATGGGATTGAGCCTTGTGTGAGGCTCCATGCCCAGCATGGAGCCTGCTCAAGATTCTCTCTCTTCCTCTGCAACCACCCGCCACCCCTGGTCAAGCTCACACTCTCTCTCTCTATCTAAAAAAAAAAAAGAAAGAAAAAGAAAACTTCAGTTCTGTAGTACTTTTGTCCATTTGGTTCTGGGCCCATTAGCATACTATCAATAGAACTTCCCAAGCTTATAAAATCCAGTTGCAGGAAAGGACCTGATTGAACAGTTTTGAAGTCCTAGCCTGAAATTACCCTAGTCTGGCTAATCTCCTTAGTGGCACATGCAGATGATAACTGTATTTGGAAACAGCTATCTTTAATGACTGGCAAAAATTTGGCAATACTTCCTGAATTACTCAGCGCAGATATCCCCCCCCCCACACACAAAAGATAAGCTTAAGTCAGTAATGCTGCCAAGCGTCACTAAGGAAAAAGGTTTGCAAGGTTGTCTCCAACAAAGCGTCCTGGGTAATATTTATTAGTGAATGAATGTGGTCCAGGGCCTGAGCTCAAGTCTGAGGGCCCATAGGTTCATTGTTCTCAGGACCTCAGAGACTGGTGCACATGAATTAAAAGGCACATGAATCTGAGTTGCCTCCTGAAGATCGATTTTTTTATTATGATAAAATACATAACAAAACTTACTATCTTAACCATTTTTAAATGTACAGTTCAGTGGGATTAAATACATTCAGTGTGTTGTGCACCCATCACCACCATCTTTCTCTGTAAGCCTTTTCATCTTATAAAATAAACTCTGTACCTTCTAAATAGTAACTCCCCATTCTCCCCCATCCCCCAGCCTCTGGCAACTGCCATTCTAATTTCTGTCTCTATGACACTTAAAAATAGACTAAAGAATTAATAGAAGTTGGGAGAGATGGGGAAAAGAAGGATTGTGGAAGTAAAAAATTCCAAGCAGAATGTAACATATAAAGGATATGGGGCAGGGAACTCTCAACCCATAGGAGGGAGGCAGCCATTGGGGCTGGGGTATACAGCGAAGGGAGAAGGATTCAAGCTGAAGATGAAGAGGGAAGCAACAGGCATCAACCTGTTTAAGCAGAGATGGGGCATAATACAATATATTTTTAAATGATCACTCACTACATAGATTAAAGTAGAAGAACGAATGAATGTGGAGAGACTAGGAGGCTATCATAGTCCTCCAGGTGAAGAATATAGTGGCATATACCAGTGCCATGGTAGTGTGAAGACGAAGCATAGCTGCTGGCTTCAAGAAATATATAAAAATAAAAATGTAACTTGTGATGGATTGAAAGGGGAGGAGATGGGAGATTTCAAGGATGACCACCAAATTTATGATTTTAGCAGCCAAGCAATGGAGGTGCCATTTTCTGAGTTGGGGAAATCTAAAGGTGGACCAGACTGGGGAGGATAGGTAAAGAGATCAAGAATATAATTTTAGACCTTTGTATTTATGACAATCTTGTGACATTTAGTTGGAGATAGATGATGATAAATGATGGTGACAGATAAAATTTTACACATGTATTTATGACAATTCTGTGACATCTAGTTGGAGATAGATGATACAGATAGGTAGGTAGATCGATCGATCGATAGATAGATAGATAATTTGAGTGAGAGGGGTGCCTGGGTGGCTCAGTCAGTTAAGTGTCTGACTCTTGATTTCAGCCTGTTCTTGATCTCAGGGTTGTGAGATCCAACCCAGGGTTGGGCTCTGCGCTGTGCATGAAGCCTGCTTGGGATTCTCTCTCTCCTTCTCCCTTTGCCCCTCCATGCACATGCTCTCTCTCTCTCTCTCTCTCTTTCTCTGTCTCTAAAAAAAAAAAAAAAAAAAGATCTGGGATAGAGCTATAAATCTGAGAATTCATCAGCATGAATGAGATCACTTTGGGACAAAGTATCCAGTGAGAAGACCATAAATGAGATCCCAATGACTCTACCATGTAGAAATGAGATGGGAGAGCAGGAAGGAGCAAGTAGATGAGAGAATGAGTGGCCTGAGAGGTCATAAGAAAACCAGGAAGCCAAGGAAATTCAAAAAAGAAGGACCCTTTTCCTAAGGGAGATGCTGGACAATGGGAATGAAATTCTCAACACCCCAGCTGGGCTTTCCTCTACCCTGCTCTGACCAGGAGACAGGTCAACTCCTACCTTGGTTCCCCTGCTCCTGTTCTATATTTGCTGTTCAAACTCTTATGCTGAAATCCTCTTATCTCTCTAGATATGTTAATGTCATTGGCCAATGTCACAAGATTAGCATGTGACTTAACTTGTCTATTAATACAGCCCACATTAACAGTTGGACCACCAAAGCCAAGGATACTTTTCAACAGCTCAAGGAAATTTTTCAGTAGGTAAGAAGGCCAATACTGGTTAATAGCATAATTAACTCTTAAGAGGGCAATCTAACTTCTCTCATTTCCAAGTTCTTAGTAACCCACAGAAGGTGATTTGTTCATAAACACTGGTTCTTCCAAATAAAAGACAAGCATAGATAAGAGACAAAAAGAGCAAGATAATTTTTCTGGAGGGTTTGTTCCTTCCTGGCTGAGACCTGCTATGGTGAAAAAAATTTGGTTCTGACGGTTAAGTTATGTGACCTTTGGGAAATCACTCAGTGTCCCTCAACCTTAGTCTCCTCATCTGTAAAGTGAAAAAACTGAAGTAGGTTTCGTTCAACCCTCCCTCCAGTTCTAATGGCCCGTCGCTCTCAAAGTATATGACTATTTTCAACTTAGCTTATGCAGAAGTTTGGTCTTGAAACTCATCAGGACACAGAAAAGCACTAGAAGATCCAGAGCCAATGATAGGCACCAACACTCACCAGCTCAATCTGCCATTTGACATATTGGAAAGAATGTTAAGTAGAGCACAACTCTTTGCTAGTTTTTAGGTCTTTTTAGAAGGAAACTTTATAATAATAGTCATTTG